AGCTCTCTCCTGTCTCCACTCGTAATAAAGTGACCACTTTTCTCCTTGAAATCAACTAAAATTAATCCCTTGGATCAAGTAATGTCTCTAAACTATTGATTTCTTTCTCTTCGTGAATCAAATCATCATTATTTGAAGTTTCCACTTATTTATTATCATATGGATATCAGAGGCAACATGCATTAGGGATCCTTTGGAGAGTCAAGTGCTATCATTTTATTAACATGGTGCTACTAGAGGGATGGGAGGAAGGGGGAAGTGAGCATCGTCCATGGATTTGAACTTGGGACTCCATTCTGAAAACCAAAGGCGCGACCACGACCTCGTTCACAGAGCCAAGTGTCATTTGCTGATTCTCCAAGTGTCACTAAAGTGGCTATGTGGCTTATGATGAGAAATCAAGGGTATTTGTGGTTACTCTTATGATATAGATGTTCGTGAAGGGACAATATTTTATGAGTTGTATGATAACAAAATAATACAATGAATTGGAAAAGTACATACTTTGGAAGTTCTACATGTCACTATTTCTACCGAGTTAAGCCGTATTTAACAGGAGTTTTAGTATATATACACATTAGGGTAGTAACTTAAACTTTTGATTATTGTACTATCAATTTTGTACAGTAAATTAATATATACTATTAGCTACTTAAGAACCCTAGTCGCCTTCTCTTGTATGTATACCCCTTCTCATTTCCTCCTCCTGCCTCTACCCATCCAACCCAGTTCCTCCCCCTCCCACTGCCTCTACCCTCCATCCATTAAAAAAACTCCAGTCTCCAGTGGTGGAGCCAAAAATTAAAATGAGGAGGGGGGAGGGGGCTAAAAACTATACACTTTAGTGGTTTGAACCATGGTCATTGGTGAGGGGAGCTAGTGGCTTACCAACTAGTCTATTTTAGAATTTGTTACACATTTTCCAAATAAATTTATCTATTTTTGAAAGTTGAGGGGGGCTATAGCCCACCCTGAGCTCAACGTGGCTCCACCACTGCCAGCCTCTAACTCTTTATTTTTTCATACATTTAAAATCTTGCTCTCTATTTCTCTACAATCCCAAGGAGAAGAGTGATAAGGTCGTTGGATCCACTACTGCGGTGCCGCACACTTGCAACAACGAGTCTCTGTTCAATTTTCATTTTTTTAATCCATCTTACTAGAACACGACGTCGTCTGGCTTTGGAGCCGGACTTGATTAACCTGGTTGGACTCACGATTTTCTCGGTTTTCTTCGGTTTTAATCGGCTACCGGCTAATAGATAACCAGACTTGGTAGGAGGCATTTTCAGAGTCAGTTTTGGTCTGACTAGGTCTAACCAGCCAGTCTGACAACCATGGTCACTACTCATTACTTATTGTACACACTATGCTATGATTAGGATAAATAATTTAATTGGCATCTCAAATCCTAAATGACCAAAATCATTGTCAATTCAAAATGTTTTGATACAATATCAGTACTTAACAAATAGTAAATTAAATCACATATGTTTTTTTTCCCTTTAGCCCACGTTTCCCTATAGTCGATTAGGCAAATTTTCTCTTCAGACAGGACTTACGTTGTTAAACGGGTTTTTGTACATTGCAATCCTTAGGGGTTGGTCAATGAATTTTCAAGTAATGGTTAATACTAATCAATTTAAATCAGTACTCATTAGTTAGGGGTAAAACTAATATACACATGGACATGACTACATGGAATAATTATGCGTTCTCATTCTTAAAGGATATTTACTATGCCAGTAACTTTCATTTACTCCTAACCAACGACTGCCCAAGTAAATTCATTATTAATGAATTAAAGTAGCTAAATTATCCTGGTCACAAAATACGCAATCTCATTGGGAGAATTTCATGTTCTACTTCATCAGTGGGCTTTTAGTTTTGGCCTAATCTATTATGGTATGTTCATTGACCAAGTTTAATGGTCATTACATATAAAAGATTACACACACAATGACTTAACATCTAGCCGTGTATTAAGTAAGTTATGCAATATACTCGAACAAAGTGAGATGAACGAGCTCGACTGAAGGAACGAAGAAGTGAGTCCGAAGGGCGAAGATTTATCATATGTGAGCCCGAAAAGCGATAGCCAGTGGAACTGCAATTAGCGAGGCTCTGGCAGATGAATAAACCTGAGATGAGTGATCTCCCGCGCTTTCAACCGTAGGTCATTAACTGCGGTTCTATAGAGATTGGAGGGCCAACAATGTTTGATTTGTCATTGTTAATTTTGTGTGTACTGAAGCATGAGAAAATATATTCAATCGAAAATTATTTTCATTAAGCCTCTCTTTTGGTAACTGGGGAAGTGAGAGTGGCGGAGGAGGATCGGGTGCAGAGTCCTGCAAAATGGGAGACATAAAAGGATATACGACAAACTCATGCACCTGGTGAGATAAAGAATGCACAAGCAAGAGAGCAGTCAAGTTATTAGCAATAAAAAAGTTATTTGCTCCTCGCCATCTCTCAAAACTAGGGTTCTATTGTGCACATCAATAAGAGCCTTGGCGACGGCTAGGAAAGGCCTACCTAGTATAAGAGGCACTTCTTCGTCCTCATTGATGTCTAAGACAACAAAATCCACAGGATAAAAGAATCTGTCAACCTTAACTAGGAGGTCTTCCACTATGCCTGTAGGATGAACTATGGCCCGGTCAGTTAATTGGATGCTCATCCTAGTTTCACTTGGTTCACCAAGGCCTAGTTTCTTGAACAATTTATAAGGTATAAAATTGATACTAGCTCCTAGATCCACCAATGACCTCTTTACATGTAGTTTACCAATAAAGCACAGGATAATAAAACTACTTGGTTCCGTCTGCTTCTACGGAAGCTTGTTTTGCAGAATGGCCGAGCTCCACAGTGGATAGCTCCATAGTGCCTCCAGGAAGGGCACTTGAACATTCAGCTTCCTAAGCATGGACATGAAGTTCCCAAACTCTGCATCTAGTTGGTCTATGTGCAGTCTGGTGGGAAAAGTGTCCTGAGGTTTATAATCAACCACTGCAGTATGAGGCTTTCTGGCTTGAACCTCTGGCTCCTTGTTCGTCACCTGTCCTTCTCCTGATTGTGGGGCAACCTGCCTCACTACCTTTGCACTTCGTGGTGGCTCTTCATCAGCCACCTTCCCACTTCTTAGTGTGATTGCACTCAGTAATTCGATTGATTAAGTGGGTTAGGCACCGTGGTAACGGGCAGGGTACCTGGGGCTCTTTGTGTCATAGATTGAGCTACTCTCCTAATCTGGGTCTGAATGTCCTACAGAATAGCTTGGTGGTTTCTTTGGCCCGCTTCAAGTTCCAGGAACCTTCCTGCTATCACTTCCTTGAACTAGTCTATCTTGCTGAACTTCTAGGTGCAGGAGCTGGCAAAGGTGCCTACTAAGTCTCTCAACTCATCCACCGAATCACCCTGTGCTAGGATTACTAGGGCTGCACCCAGAGGGTGGAACTGCCCTTGCTGCCGCTGAGGGAGAGTATGCCCCTGTCTGGGTTGGTAAGGAGGCTGCTGCTGGAACTGGCCCGGGTGAGGCTAATACTGTTGTCTCTGGTCTGGTCGCCCGCTGGTAGGAGCTTGAAAGCCTGGTGGCTTAGGGTTGATGTTGCCACCCCAGGAGAAATTCGAGTGCTGGCGCCACCCCTCATTGTAGGTGTTGCTATATGGATCTATGCGCCTGGCGTTGTTGATGAAATTCAGCTGTTCCTTTGGCATAATAAACTCCCTCATTGCCTAACAGTCTTCAACCGTGTGGTAGCTGCTCTCGCACCACTAGCAATACATCACTTGCTGCTGCCCTGCGGCGGGGACCATTCCATTTCTATCAATAGCTGAAACCAGCTTAGAGACAACCTATACCAACTCAGATGACTGGGTATCCACAGCATGCACATCCCGGCCTGGTGCTCGTCGCGATCTTTGTACAGACCCCCAATCATAACTCTGCTCAGTCATATCTTCGAAAAGCTGATTCAATAGAGGTGGCATCTTAGTTAACATGTTGCCGCCACAAAGACCGATAGAAGGTTCCCACCTTGAAGGCATCATTGAAACCATGATTGGGACACTTTAGGAAGAGAGCGTTGTATCTCTCCCAAGCGTCCCGAATAGTTTCTTCCTGTTTTAAAGGAGGATGATAGCGGGTCAAGAATGTGTTGGCCAGGTTGGTGAATGTAGTGATTGACCCAGGAGGCCGATTTTCCAGTGATAGACCGCTATTTGCACATTTTTTGGCCACCATTATTGAACCGTTTGAGAGTTGATTCTCGTGTTTTAAGCCGATTTCAGGCTGGGTTGTACGTTTATGTCATATTTCAGAACTTGGCACGGAAAGGGAGGCTTGGAGGCGAGTTTCTGGTCGAAAATGGAGATTTGGCGGCAAGAAGGAGATGACAGGCAAAATACCCGGTCAGGTCACTCAAATGCCCGACCAGGTATTGGATCGAGTAAAGTCACTTGTAGACCCGTAAAAGCAGAAGGGGGCCAGGCCGAGGAGCATAAATACCCGATCAGGTATTTTATCCCTGGATCGGGTATTTCCCCCTTTGCCTGCGCGCTACGTTTCATAATACCCGGCCGGTCTCCATGAATACCCGACCGATTATTTGGGCCAGGTATCGCGAGCGGCTGCTATTTCAAGGGAATTTTGGGTTCTTTGGCAAAGGATCCAAGTTTTAGAGAAAGAAAGCGAAAACCGAGAGAAAAAGGACGAACAAAGCCTCCAAGTGACCTAAATCGAGATTCAACATCATTGGAGCTCGATTGAAGCTTGGAGAAGTGTCGATTGATAACCAGAAGTCGATTTTCATCCTTCACAGAATGATTTCCGCATCTGATGCTGATTTCTCTTCTCTCTCTATGGAGTAAACTCTCTCTCTCACATGGTTATGGACAACCCTAGATTTGTCTGTTAGGTTTGGTTGTATGAATCCAAGTACATGTTCTTTGACATCGATTATATTCAATTGAGGCATGATTTTCTGAATTGCATGAATCCTGATCAAATTCCTTTAGTTCCTGCTTTCACCTAGAAAGAGAATCTTTGCCTAGGTTGATAGAGCAACCTTAATTGATGGTGGTGAATTGACTACTTTAGTCGAGGAGTCAATTCACTGATCTGTACTGGATTTACTCTAGTAGAGGAGGTTTTGAACGTTAGGGCCTCAGTTTGTTCACTCCGGTGGAGGTTAGTCGCCCGCCGGGTATTCAGATTGAGAGGATCTGGCAACCTTTAGTTGAGACTTCAGACTAAATAAGAACCTTCTGCAATATAACTTTCATTGAATTTGGACTTGGAGAATTATAACCCGACTTAACTGCAATCTAGGGGGAACCATATCTGGGTGACCTCTCTCAAACTTGAACCACAACTTTTACTGCTTTGTGTTTGTTTAGCTTAGTTAATACTTCACTATAGTTAAACCGCTAACTAATAAGAACTTCACGGAGTATTCGTCACATCTATGACCCGGGTTGACAATTAAAGCTAAACCTGCTATACTACGCATCTTGAGGAACCCTATTTATCTTGATTCCATCGATCAACTCGTGGAATCGCCGCAGCAGGTGCGCATGGGGATACTCGCCCGTCTTCCCATGGAACACCACTGAACCTCGTAGCATGGTGATAACAGAGGTGCTTACCTCAAAGTTGTTGGCAACAACTTGAGGTTGTTGGATGCTGGACCTCATGTTAGCTGGCCTGGTGGTCCAGTAGTAGCCCATGGTATGCTCCTTGGGGACAACCGCCTAGGCATCATTAGAGTCACTCATTTATTCTTCACTCTCAAATTTGTCGGTAACAACAACCTTATCAAAGTCCTCCTCTGTAGACAGTCTCGATTTGAGTGCTCTGAGCTAGCAACAAGTTCATTCGATTTGAGGGTGTTCAATTGGCGACCTCATGTCCGCGGCTCTGGCGGTCTAGTAGTATCCCATGGTCTGCTCCTCAGGAAGGACCACATCATGGTCCTATGGATCACCCATCCCTTCTTCGTCGGCGATTTGCAGCTGTGCTAGCGCCTCCTCCGCAGCCAGTCGCGCCTTTAGAGCCCACTTGAAGTTCCGGCAGGTCCGTTCAAGCTCCTGGTCCAGTGGTAGTAAATCTCCCGACTGGCTACGGGTCATGCACTACCTGCACACAATCACCAAAAGCAACCCGTGAAGGCACACAGGTGGAAGAGAGAGAATGCAGTAAAGAAAAAGCTAGAGTAACAAACTTTCACGTTTCCCCAATAACCTAGAGGGTCCCCGGCAACGGAGCCAACAACTTGACACGCTACGACACAATACCAAACTGCGACCAAGTGTAATCGCAGTCCGGAAATGCAGAATAGTGGCAAGTTCTAATTATCAACCCGGGGTCTAGATCTACTGCCTACTCCGTGATTATCTATTATCTAGCAAACTAAGTCGAGTGATTGTTGTTTTGACTAAAAGCAGTAAGAAAGCAGGAATTGGTTCGGTTTTCTGAAGCAAAGGAAGAGTCACTCGGGAATGAGTCCCCCTAGTTTTTTAGTTAGGTCACAGTTGTAATTACCCTGGGTTGATTTACTATTGATTAAACTGCAGAAGATCCGACAGTAGCTTGGAATCTCTTAAGCTGACCAAGCCCTCTTAGTCCAACTACCCGGCAGACGACTAGTCTTCACCGGGATAGAAAGCTGAGGCTATGAACACAGAACTCCACTACTTGAATTGGATTCCAGTACAAAGCACTAGACTGACTAACTCTCGTATAACCAATCTACTACTACCGAATGATGAAGCTCTAACAACCTAATCAGATTCTATCTATCTCAGGTTGGAGCAGAAATCAAGAAAAGCTGATCAGACTTCAATTAATTCAATGAATCATGCATCATTTGATTAAAACCAAACAGTATAGCTATCCCAAGTCATTACAATCATGATCCCTAACACATGGAACTAGGGTTCTTCATACCCACGTGTAAGATGGTTCTACTCCATAGAGAGAGAGAGAGAGAGAGGAAAACAGAATACAAAGCAGTCATACTCATAACAATGGGAAGAATCTGCTCTGGGATGTCAATCTTCACTCCCTTGATGATCTCCAAGCTCGATTGATGAAACCCAACTCCAAAATCACTCTTAGGAGGTGTTCTTCGCACTTTCTCTTTCTAGGGCAGGGCAGGCTACACGGCCGTGTGGATGTCCCAGCTGCCCGTGTGAAATGTGCAAAACGCGGCGTTTCGATTAAGTGCCTTCAGCCATCCTACACGGCCACAACCACACGGCCGTGTGGATTTCCAGACTGCCCGTGTGAGTTCCCTGGAATTTCCACACGGCCATGTGGGTTCCCTTAGACGGCCGTGTGGCTTTAAGGCATGCCCGTGTGGCTTCTCAGCTTCTCGCCAAACGTCCAAACTTCGTCCAATCGACCTCGAACTCGTTCCCAAATCTTCATTCACTTACTAGGACTTGAAATATCACAAACAAGCACAACCTAGCGTGAAATCGTCCTAAAACACGAGAATCAACATCTCAAACGGCTCGAGAATAGGGGTAAAAACATGTGTAATTAACGGTCTATCAAATAACCTAGAGGTCCCCGACAATGACGCCAAAACTTGACTCACTAAGACACAACAACAAACTACCACCAAGTAATAATCGTAGAATGAAAATTCAGAATAGTGCGTAAGTTTTACTTATCAACCCGGAGCTTAGACGTACTGCCTACTCCGTGATTATCTATTATCTAGCGAGGAAAGTTGAGTGAGAGTAAATTTAAACTAAAGCAGAAAGAAAGCAGTAAGTTGTTCAATTTTTTGAAGCAAGAGAAGAGTCATTCGGGAATGAGTCCCCCTAGCTCCTTAGTTGGGTTCAAGTTGTAATTCCCTTTGATTGATTCACTATTGATTAAACTGCGAAAGTTCCGAAAGTAGCTTGGAATCTCTTAAGCTAACCAAACCTTCTTAGGGATAACCCCCTAGGTAGGTGGTTTGATCAGAGAAGCACAACAAAGAGTCAATTCAAAGATTGAATTGAAACTCAGCAAGAAAGAACACAAAACATGGGTTTTGAGTTCGAGTTGCGATGGTGACTTTCGTGCAACCTTCTCGTAAGGAAAGAGGCTCGAAACATTAGGGTAGATGCTTGGCCACGAACAGTGGGAATAACTAAACGATACAAGCTCAGCATCGATCCTAGAATCAGTTAGGAAGATCTCCAATTTCACAAGACAAAGCCTATGAACTCAAACTCTCGGTTTGTTATTCAATTGAACAAAAACTCACGATCTCCAATTTCACAAGACAAAGCCTATGAACTAAACCTAAAAACTCATAAGGAAGTTCTAAACACAATACAATTCGAAAAGGAAATAAAAATCAACAATGAAAAGTAAACTACACGAAACAACAAAGGAATCCTAATTCGATAAGGATTCAGTTTGCTTGATTTCCAAAGACAGAAACTCAGCCTCGACATGATTATTTGGAGCTTTCATTCGAATCTTTCCAATCTTCGTTCCAATCATCCAACGCCTTTTTCATTGTAATAAAAGTTTCATACTTTCGTGTGGTATCAACCTTGAAACTTGACTCTCATTCTTCTGTCCTAAATAGAGCTTCAAAGTGCTCCTCTGAACACTGTCTCCGCCTTAGCCAAATTCAGGCAGAATTCTGGTTCAGGCTGTTTGGGAAGCTTTAAAAACGAACCTCCTGGACTTTCCTTGAACAACCAAGAACTCCAGCTTGCCGAGGGTGATTCCATCTTCAAAACAAACCCCCACAATCCCATTTCCATCGAGCCAATTGAAAGAATTAAGCTTGCGAATGAGGTGACTTGACAAAACTTAGCCAAAATTCAATGTTATCTAATCGAGTTGAAATGGATTCTTGATCCATCGATTCATAATGGAAATGGATGCAATTTAGGATTGTGTCACTTAGAAAGACTATCCAGTAGACGACTATCCTCCACCGGGATAGAATGCTATGGCAATTCATATAGAACTCCTTAACTGGAAACGAATTCCAGTACAAAGCAGTGAATTGACTGAATCTCGTACAATCAATTCACTCCTATCGATTGAAGAAGCTCTAACAAGTACAACCTAATCAGATTCTAGCTATCACAGGTTGAAGCAGAAATCAAGAGAAGTTGATCAGGATTCAATTGACTCAATAAATACACTTTAATCGATTAAAACCAATCAATATATCATCACAAAAGTCATTACAAGCAAGATCCCTAACACATGGAACAAGGGTTCTTCAGACCCAAGTGAGAGAAAGTTCTACTCCATAGAGAGAGAGGAAAACATAAATCAAAGCAGTCATACTCATAAAGATGGGAATAATATGCTCTGGGATGTCAATCTTCACTCCTGGAGATATGGGCTTCAATGGCGAGAAATCCACTCCAAATAGCTCCTAGGATTTGCTCTTCGTCATTTTCTCTCTCTAGAACTCTATTTTTGCTCCAAAAATTCGAATCCCCTTCCTTTGGCTTGAATATGCCTATTTACCCCAATACTGGGCAAAATATGGGCACGAGCATGGTCGTGCTTTGCTTCTGACCGTGCTTTGACCAGATCACACGTTTTGTTTAATTTGGGATTGGGAAATCCACGATCGCGTCTGAGTAAAACACTAGCAGTATTTTGAAAAGCACCGGCGATATTTTGAGAAGCACCGACGGTATTTTGATCTTCGTTTTCCTGTGCTTTACTTTCCTTCAACATTCTTCAAGAGCTAGCCTCGTTAATTAAAACACGAGCGAGTCGTTGATGAAACACGATTGTGCTTTAGGAAAGCTTTCTCGTAATTTTCACCAAGACAACATTGGTAGGGTGCTGAGTGAAACATGACCGTGCTTTTAGGGAAGGCTGCTCATATTTCTTCCTCAGTTCCACGTTTGAGAGGCCTTTAAATGACCAAACGACCTCTATATGACCCGAAACTTGCGGCTATGCCTCCCTTTACTCGCTAGGACCTAAAATGTGATAAAATAGCACAACCTAGTGTTAAATAGTCCAAGGAGTCACATATTTGAGCCAAAATGGTTAAGAAAGAAGGATGCAAACATGTGCAAATACGATGCTATCAAGACTCTGATTCAGGTGATGTGAATGCTCAAGAATGGGAAGAAGATGATGATGCTATTGCGGATGACCAATATAAACAAAAGTGCCAGCCAGTCTTGTGTACGATAGCGAAAAAGATCTAGTAGCATCTTGAGTGGAGGTCAGCACTGGTTGTGTAAGGTTTAGGAATAAGAATTTTATATTTGCCGCTGCTCATCGTCTAAATTACTACCTATTGGCAAGGAACGAGGAAATTCAAATTACGAACATGAAGAACATATTTTTAATGGTGAGATTCAAAAATGGAATGGACTATGACATGGCTTCCTCAAGAGGGCCTTGGTTGTTGGGCAACACGTACTTAACTGTTCATCTTTTGTTCAAGGGCTTCAATCTTTGCAACACTGAAGTTAAATCCACGATAGTATGGGCGCAACTGCCTGAATTACCGTTTGAGTTTATGAACGTGGAGGCGGTGATCAAAATAGCTCAATTGGTTGGTAAACCAATATGGGTTGATTGAGCAACTGTATTGGGAGCTCGTGCAAATTTGCAAGGGTATGCATGTAAGTAGATTTAACAAAACCATTATTATCTCAATATAAAGTGTAAGGGATCACATATTTGATTAAGTATGAAGGCCTATATAATATTTGTGGGGAGTGTGGTATGTATGACAAGCCCTCCAACCATTGTGAGTGCTACTACGACCCTTGGGGGTTGTATGTGATAAAAGTAACGCAACTAATGATTCAATCGAAGAATCGATTGAACTCGAATCAAGAACAAAAAATTCTTAATACGAACTTGGATAAAACGGAACCAAAAGGACAATCCACACCTGGGGATAGCTCGATTGGGTTAAAGGATAGTTGTTCGACCACGATTAAAGTGACTATTCAATCGATACACAAGCTCAACAAGTTTGGGATCCACCAAACCCAACACAAGTCGCAACTTGAACAAATCCGAAGTTTTCAATTCAATTTATCAATCTCTGACGATTATAATGATAGACTTGACTTAAATAGACTCTAATTAAACCTAACAACTCAAAAGAAACTCCTATTTAGGTTACAACTCGAAAAAGGAATAAAAACAACAATTAATACGAAACAACAAACTAATCCTAATCGAATAAGGAAAACAATTCTATTTTTACAAGGCAGAATTTTGTGACTTCCTACTAACTTTGAGCCTTTTGTTCGAAGCCTTCCAGATCTCCAATCTTTCGTACAATTCCTTCCCTTTGTACACAAACATACCTAGTTTCATGTTGTGGAAGTATTTGGACTTGAATCACATCCATGCTCCTCGACTTGAGCTCCAAAGTAGGCTTCACAAACAGTTTTCTGCCTTACCCATTTTCAGGCAGTTTTCCAGTTTTTACATAGACTTTTGGTGAGCTTGGAAAATAACTTTCCTGACTTCTCCTTGAGAAACCAAGCATACCAATGTGTAAATAATCACTCCATATTCAATACAAGACCTTAATATTGAATTTTCACTGCGCCAATTGTGAGAATCGTGCCTCCAAAGTCGGCTACTTTAAAACGGAAAATGACTTGGACAATTTTCTGTTTCTTTCTCGGAATTCGACTTGGCCTCTTTGACAATTAATCCTGTATGGAATTTGATCAATCCCAGGACTGTATCAGGATTCCCCTCTTCAAAAAGCTTTAACCTCAAAACATGATGCTTTTTCTCGTCAAAATATGCACAGAACTGATCCCAAATTGGATCAAAAGATGGCTGCTCAAACATCTTTTTTCTGCCGAACCATTGCAACTTCAGCTTCATCTTCGATGTGTTCTAGGGACTTTGAAGCTTGCAGTGTTGTTGGAAATGCTTCTTGGGTTTGAAATAAACCTGCATTGACGACTAATTGGGCCGGAAAGGGATCAGAAGTTGGCGCGTCTTTGTTCTTCATCTTTGCACAAGAACTTGCTTGAAACAATTGGGGGTTTCTGTTTCAACGATACCTAGTCCAATTCGACGATCCCACGCTCTTTAGCAGGCTTCCAATTGAAACTGTGAACCATTCTCCAGGCTTGAATCGTCACCTTCGTCGTCGAATCGCCGATTTCGTCTTTCCCGTCGTCGGTCACATTCAAAACCCAGAAATTTCAATTGGAAATTGGACATTTTCGATTTAGAATTCTTCAGGACAAATTGAATGCTTCTACACTTTCCTTGTACCTCTTGTGATGATTCTACACCGTTTGGTTCGCTCAATTTGAGCTGGATCACTCTACCTAGAAGATGGTTCTCGTCGGCCTTTTGCTTCACGAACAGAGGCACTTTCGTGTGAGTTGATTCTCCAAATTTAGGTAACTTCGTCTCCAATGAAGAATCTTCCAACGTTGCTGGGTCGTGGGATCATTTTGGCACCAGTGGTGAAGTTCGAATCTCGCCGGTTGTTCCAACCAAATCGTTCCCTCTCCTACTTTGTTTTACCGTAGAATTGGAAAGCTCTACTGCTCGCTTCACCAAGTCGATTTGCGCATCGGCAGCTGGCTCTAGAACTTCTCCTCGTGCCCCAGTCCTTCTTCCAACCTCCAAGGACGTGTTGCTGGCCCCTTCATGCGCCGGCTTTGCCTCCTCGTCGTCAGTAGGACTGTTGGCGTCATATCTTTGTTATATAGTGGAAAAACAGAGTTCTTTGAAAGTTGTTGGTTCCAGCTCTGGAACGGTCTTCTGAAGCTTTCGAAAGCTCATAAAATTGAACCCAATGTGCCTCTGAACCCACAATTGAGCCTGAGTCTTTTCCCGTACTTTGATTCGACTCCAATTGCTTTTGATCTTCTTAAACTTCATCCAGAGAAAGGGGTTTTAACACAAACTTCTTACCTTGGTGCTGAAACTTGTAACAATTCGTCCATCCTTCATGGGTAACCTTTCGATCAAATTGCCAAGGACGGCCAAGCAATACGTGAGCTGTGTGCATTGGTGCAACATCACACAACACCTCATCTTCATAGCAGCCAATTTGAAAACGAATTGGAACTTGTTTCGTCACTTTAATCGTTCCGTGCTCATTGATCCAGTTGAGACTATACTGCAGAGGATGCTTTTGTGTCATCATTCTGAGATTCTTGACAACGTCCAGGCTGATGATGTTTGCATAGCTTCCCACATCGATCACGAGCGACACCAATTTCCCATCGATGAAGCATCGACTGTGAAATAAGTTATCTCGTTGCTCGTCGGATTCTCGACTCTGAACTGGAGCGACTGGCTGCTTTTGTTGACCACGAATTTCCAACTCCTTTGCCTCTACACTTCTCTCCACCATTTGTTTGCGTAGAATCGAAATTTCCCTTGTAATTCAACCTCAAACAACAGCTGCAATACACGAACAGGGGCTGCTCTATCTTGAACTTCAATTTATGCTTGTACCGAAACAGTCGATTTCTTCTTCTCCTTCGCCCTTGTGTAGAACTGGGCTCTAATACCACTTAATAAGTCCCTGGGGGTTGTATGTGATCAAAGTAACACAATTATTGATTCAATTGAAGAATTTATTGAGCTCGAATCAAGAACGAAACGTTCTTAATATGAACTTGGATAAAATGGAACCAAAAGGACAAATTCACACCTAGGGATAGCTAGATTGGGTTAAATGGTAGTTTCTCGACCACGATTGAAGTGACTATTCAATCGATACACAAGCTAAGCAAGTTTGGAATCCACCAAACCCAACACAAGTCGCAACTTGCACAAAACCGAAGTTTTCAATTCAATTGATCAATCTCTGATGATTAAACCTAACAACTCAAAAGAAACTCCTATTTAGGTTACAACTCGAAAAAGGAATATAAAAAACAATTAATACGAAACAGCAAAATAATCCTAATTGAATAAGGAAGAGAATTCCGTTTACACATGGAAGAATTTTGTGACTTCATACTAACTTTGAGCCTTTTGTTCGAAGCCTTCCAGATCTCCCTTCTTTCATCCAATTACTTCCCTTTGTACACAATCATACCTAGTTTCATGTTGTGGAAGCCTTTAGACTTGAATCACATCCATGCTCCTCGATTTGAGCTCCAAAGTAGGCTTCACAAAATAGTTTTCTGCCTATCCATTTTCAGGTAGTTTTCCAGTTTTGACATACGCTTTTGGTGAGCTTGAAAAATAACCTTCCTGACATCTCCTTGAGCAACCAAGCATACCAATGTGTATATAAACACTCCATATTCAATACAAGCCCTTCATATTGAATTTTCATTGGGCCAATTGTGAGACCGTGCATCCGAAGTTGCCGAAAATGACTTGGACAATTTTCTGTTTCTTTTTCGGAATTCGCCTTGGCCTCTTTGACGATTAATCTTGGATTGAATTTGATCGATCCCAGGATTGTATCAAGTGCTGCCACAACATGAACCTGATAACAAACATGGATGAGGTGGAATAGGCGTCACAAACACAATAGATGGACCCTATGAATGGGAGGGTATCTAAGGAGTGGATGACCGTCAAGAGAAGAGAGTAGGGACATCAGAGGAGGAATGATTACCATCATGGTTTTAATCCAGGAGCATGAAAAATAAATCCAACATTCTGCATGTAGATAAAAATAAAGATGGGGCACCCACGCAATCGGGCACTAAAACGGGTCGGGAGGAATTAGTTTTCCATGGGAAACAAAGTGAGATCGAGAAGGTTGGGGATAACATGAGAGCTTATGCTCAGCGTGAGGAAAAGAAAATAGTAAATAAAAAAGCAAGATGAAGGGAGTGGTTTGCTCCAACGAAGGGGAAGGGAAGCCACTGAAGGGGGTAGACGTAACCATACAGGTAAACCAATTATTCTCTATGAAAGGTGTAGGGAACCTATCCCCTTCGGGTCATACAGACTTCTTAGATATAACTGTTGTCACTTGGGAAGCAAGCGTGCAGTTAGAGCTTTAAGGTTGCCCTTGTTATAGGCTTCCCCGCAAGTGGCTTTCTTAACGGAAACCAAACGACAGAGGGTAAGAATTTAGCAGTTCAAAAGGAGATTGGTATAAGAGTGGCGAGTATTGGCCGACATATACTTCTCATGGCGGACGCTCTAAGCGTTTAAGTGTATGGTGGGTGGAAGAAGTGAACTTGACGATTAGGTCTATGTCAAAACATCATATGGGTACCAAAACTATAGATGAAGGTGACATAACATGGAGGTT